TGGCGATTCGAACTTCTTCTTCCGTGATGGCCGGTACTGGTCCATGTACAGTCTCAGCCGCTGCAGCTGATGAGTATTCGTAACTTGTGGATGCCGTTTCTGCGAAGTGCTCTCTCCATTTCTTGTTGATCTCTTCAGGTTTCCTCAACACTCTTCCATCTACATCTTTGATATTGCAGAAGTGCTCCACGTCTTTTGAGGCGTTTGCTCTTCTTCTTGCGAGCCTGTAGATCTCACGTTCACCTCCGTGACTGTGCAGCTTCCTGTATAGCTCCTCCACGTACGCTTCTTTCGCTTGTTTGACGCTCCGTTTCGCAGCTCGTTTGGCGTCTACATATGCCTGCCGCGCTTCTTCTGATTTTGTCTTCTGCCATATTCTGAAGGCTGTCTTCTTCTTCTTGATCACGGACTGCACGTCATCATTCCACCACCAAGTTTCCTTATCGAGTTTTGTTCTTCCTGGCTTCGTACGTCCTAGTAGATTAGTGGCTACCCGATGGACGTTGTTCTTCAGATTCTTCCAGGAGTCTTCTGGCTCTTCTCCTAGCTGTGGTAGGGCGGATTCCATGGCTGCTCTAACTTCGTCGTTGTCTCTGAGCTTCCACCATTTGATGCGTGCTACTTGCTCTGTCGTTGTTCTTCTTTGCCTGTCGATTGGAATATTCAGATCCAGAATCAGGGCCGATGTTGTGGTATGCAGTCTTCACCGGGTATGACTTTGCTGTTCTTCACATACTTGAGCTCGTCTTGTCGTACAGCCCAGAAGTCTATTTGTGATTTCCGATCTCCACTGGCGTACGTGATGAGGTGATTAGGCTTCTTAATGAAGTATGTGTTTGCTAGCGCTAAGTCATGTGCCGTGGCAAATTGCAGGATACGCTCTCCTTCTTCGTTGCGTATTCCGTATCCGTGATTACCGTGACATTTACTAGCACCGTATCGTTGTTCACCGACATGACCGTTTAGATCAGCACCAATCAGTAGCATCTCGTCGTTTGGTATCAAGCTTGTGTAGTCGTCAAGTTGATTCCAGAATTCATCTTTCTCCATCTGTGTGCAACCCACTTGAGGTGCATAGGCGGTTATGATTCGGAGAATTTTCTTCCCGGTATCTACTCTGATGCACATAATTCGATCACTTATTCGGTCCACGCCAGCGATTCTACTCCTTAGTGCTTCTGAAAACACTATACCGACGCCGTTTCTGGTGTTACTCGATCCTTTGTAGAGAAGCTTGTAGCCGTCTCCTATATCCCTCGACTTCTCCCCTTTCCACTTTGTTTCCTGAATGCAGGCGATGTCAACTCTACGTCTTCGTAGAAGATCAGCCAATTCGCGATGTCGTGCTGTGAGTGATCCTACGTTGATGGTGGCTAGACGTAACCTTGAGGACTTGAATACTCGCCTGTGGTGAGCTAGCTTCTTCAACCGTCCCCGCTCACCCTGCTGAAACGGTAACCCTAGCATACTGTTCGCACTCGTCGGACTCGAATGCGCGTCGCCTCCGGGGAACGCCCTAGCTTTTACTCGAGATATCCGATGAGACATACAAAAGCATCTGATGCGACGGGGTTTCTTCTTCAGCCGGCTTGTCGCTTGCTTTCTTTGGATGAGCAGCCTGACGCTGGAATCGTGGGCAGAGCTTTTTGCCAAAGAAATTAGGCCCGCCGCGGAATCGAACCTGTGACCTTCCTCGCCGTAGTCAAGGGCACTAACCTCTCGGCCAGCTCTGCTCAGCCTCAAGTCCACTAAGCACTACAAATTCACAAGTCCGAAAATCTACCACGTTGAGTCAAAAGTGGTGAGTCAACCTTCTGCAAATTGAGTAGAAGTGGAAAAGCGCACTGAATAGCGTTCAACCCAGCTTTTCCTCTTCTCATCGTCATATCTGTGTGCTTATTTCCCTCATAATTGCTGGAGACCACCAAAATTTTTGAATTGTTTCTGTCTTGTTAAAATACAGGTGATCCACGAGATTTTCAGCGTAGAATTTTGAGGAAAAGTGGATGACATCAAACAAAGCAAACCTTATTTAGTGCTGTTTTAGCTCTTTCGAAATCAATTCCGGGAAAGACTTCCGGAAGCCTTATTCTACACAAAAAAGCTTTGAAAAAAGATCGAAAAAAAAGAGATGAAAAAAAAACCTACTGAAATCCTTTAAATTTTTGAGCTGCAAAAGTCGTTTACTATCAAACCTTGACTAACAAAACCCAAACGCTTACCGCTTCATATTAGCCATAATCAAATTTTCGGACAGCTATGCGCAAGTACAGAATTCGAAGATAGACAATTTGGGTTTAGAACTTTTGCGATCATCTCAGTAGTAATGGAAAGCTTTGATTTAATATTGAAGCTGATTGATAGAATAAGAAAAAAATGCGTCGGTACTATAAAGTACTTGTTTCTCGATGTTTTGGATGTTCTGACTTCATCGGTCCAAAAATGGTGCAAACTTATAATCAACCTGATCTCAGATTATGTCCAAGAAATAACGTAAAGTTATATTCTGTTTGATTTTGAAACAAAAAAATGCAAAATTATTAGGTCGTTCCGAAAGTAATGTCGCTTTCTTTAAAGATACGCCACATCTCGTAAAACCAAGATTTCCAAGGGATCTTAGTAGCATTCGATACAGCATTTCATTCTCTTTCTAATGCTTATCCATTGCATAAGAATCAATGAGCTTTTGCAAAATTACCAAAACCTGCGATCCATGCTTTTTGAGAAGTTCAAGTTTCACAGTTTTTCTAAATTTTTGTAAAAACCCTCAGAAAAAGTTCAAGTGATGCATGGATAGAGAAAACCCTACAGGATATAGCATCATTTTTTTTCTAATTTCCATAGCTCGTCATAACTTTTGTATAGATTTTTTATTGGAACCACCGGATTTTAGCAGGCTCGTCGCAGACACGAATGCATCAAAAACCAATAAATCTTCGGATTTTGAAACTTACAAAAGTGTATTATGGCTTAACACTATTTTTACAAAACAAAATGAGCATTTGCCGCTTCAGATTAGCAACTTTCAAAAATTCCGGGTGCAGCGTGGGGGGGCCTTGAAAAACCTGAACTATGATGATTTATTTCGGGAAACTTTATAAATAAAAAACAAAGAACAACTAGTAGAAAGAGGAGAAAAAGCTGCGTCGAATGACACCCGAGTTGCTCGGCGGTTATTGTTCTGCGACATTTTAGGCTGCGTTTATACTGATCCCGAAGTTCGGGAACAGTTCCAGCACAGCGCTTAAAGTGAGCGTTGTGCTGGGACTGTTCCCGGATTACGAAATCGGTATGAACGCAGACTTAGTTGACCAAATATGGACTTTGATAGCATTAAAAAATTGGTTTTAGAAATTCTAAGAGGCGAGCTAAGAAAAAGAAAAGAATTGTTTCATATCCTATAGGGTTTGCTCTATCTGCCCACCACTTGCTCTTCTTCGGGAATCAATACAAAAGATTAGGAAAATAACCGATTTTGACCATAGCAAGAAGCATGAGTCGTAGATTTTGGTATTTTTCGAGAGTTCGTTGAACATTCTGCAATGGAATTATAACCTCTAGAAAGAGGATGAAATGTTGCATCAACTACTTCCAAGATCTCTTGGAAATCTTGGTTCTACGAAATGTGGCGTCCATTTGAAAAAAGCGGCATTACTTTCGGATTGACCTAATATATTAGGTTGGCTAGAAAGTTCTTGCGTAATTCAAACAAAATTCAATAACTTTTCAATGCATAAACCTAAATTCACAATCTTGTATTCTAAAAATATTAGAAGGCTTGCGCTCCATGATGGATGTCTAGACATAAAATTCCATGGGCTAGCCACCGAGAACCAAGCTCTCAAAGATGGAGCTTCAAATTTCGCGATTTTGAGTTTGGTGCCAGAAAATCGCAGAGTGCCGCTAGCTAGCCGAAAAAAATCTCTAGAATTTACTTACATAACAAAAGTCCATATATTACTTTGGAAGGCTTTGATCTTGCACGGTGAAGCAAAAACAAAAAATTCGAGAAATATGTCATTTTACAGGATAAATCCCCTCATTGGTGTAATTTTTCCACAAAAACACAGTTTGCGACCAGAAATAAGACGCAGTGCCTATTTAGAACCTTGCGACTCTTTCTGGAGTGTAAAAAAGTGTTTTCGCCGAAAAACTACGGTAATGAGGGGATTTTTTCCGCAAAATGACATATTTCACGAATTTTTTGTTTCCGCTTCACCGTACAAGATCAAAGCCTTCCAAAGAACATATGGACTTCTGCTGTGTAAGTAATTTTTACAGATTTTTTTCGGCTAGCTAGCGGCACTCTGCAATTTTCTGGCACCCAACTCAAAATCGCAAATTTTAAAGCCCCATATTTGAGAGCTTCGTTCTCAATGTCTAGTTCATAAAATCTTGCGCTTAAACGTCCGTCATGGAGGGCAAGCCTTCTACTATTTTTAGAGAACAAGATTGTGAAATTTAGGTTTAGGCATTGAAAAGTTATTGAATTTAGTTTGAATTACGCAAGAACTTTCTAGCCAACCTAATATTTTATCTAGTTTTAGAATAGGTTCAAATGACGCAAAGTTCTCATTACTTGACAATTTCGCATTTTCTGCAGCTTTCCAGATTTTTGAGGACCTAACTTAAGATGCTCGATGCTTACCTATTCTTCCTTTTCCATTTTATTTTTATCTCTGCAGTCAAGTGTGAAGCAGAAGCTCCGCAAAACAGCTCAAAAGCGAAGGACCTATTCTTCTAACAGAATTATAAGCAAGCAAATCCTTTGAAATAGCGCGAAGTTACGAATTTAAATGCGAAACAACAAAACTTTCGGACCGACCCAATAAAACTCTTTTTAAATCTTATAATGTCCGTTCTAGTCGTGGTGAATCACCCTTCCAAGCAGTAAGACGTTCTAGAAACAGGTACCCCGTGCTAGACTTTTTTCATCTTGCTTCGTAAGTATTCTCAAGTTCTCCGCTCCAATATTGAGTTGAATTCAACAACAAGCTTACCGGCTCGAATGGTTTTGCATCTTTCAGCTCCATTCCCAAGCCACCAATGTTTACTATCTTAGCCAACATTGGACGTGGAAGATCGTATAGTTCGTTTGAATTGACCATGACCTAAGCAACAGCTCAAGAATTCTCAGGCATTTCAATACTTTGTTTTTCTGATTACCAGAGGACACTTCCTGGCAATGTCAACAATGTCCGGAAACTCAGGATCAATTGAATTCCGAAAGATTGCTGTCTCTTTATCCGCGAACATCCTTCAAATATCCGCTCTCCTGCTAGACTTTACATAGTGTTGTGCATCAATAACCATACTTACTTCCAAAAGACTGGCATTATCGTGTGACCTATGAAACTCTTTGCCCTCTCTATAAAACTCATATGATCAGAGCTTTCTTGTAAGAACGCTGCAAATAAATTGTTTGTGAAAAGGTACATGTTAATAAAGAAAAGTTCAAGTCTATTATGGTGTTACACTCACGTGGAACATAACTGGGTATCAAAGGTACCCCCATGTTATGCGCTATAAAATCCATCAAGGCGCCACTGCAATAATTGCATACAATCTGATTTTTTTTGGAAGAAGTATACCTATTAAGCCAAATCCATGAAGGGATCTTCACATAATGAATAAGGCCTATAGGGCAGACGTCGTACATATGAGTAAAGGCAAGATCGAACTCCTCAGCAGCAAGCCACCGGATAAATTCTTTGTTCTCCACCAGCCCTAATAAGCAATACTCATAAAAAAGAACGCGGAGTGTAGTAGTGCTTGCTCTCACTTCTACAAGATTCTAATAACACCTTAGTCATCAGCTTAAAGTTTTCTACCATACGAGAATCCCACATGGGCATGTCCTGGAAATGGAGAAAGATCCTATGGGAATTTGATGACAACCTGCTTTCACTTACCTCAAAGATTACTTTGCTATGTCTTTCCTCCAATTCCTTCCAGCTCATCCCATAAGACGCATTTACTGAGTGAACTGGAACAAAATTAGATGAGTCCCTGGAGGATGCGCCAATCTGTAATCTGCTATATTTTCCACTTAAATTTGCCTAGTTTGTACGGTACAAATGCACGTTTTTTCTTTTCGTTTTTTTCAAACCTTTTGTCAAAAACTAACAACCTCAAACATCCCTTCATTCTTGCCTAGCGTCCAATTACCATGAAAAGGGAACTCCAGCTTTGCAAAGTACGCTCAAAGGCAAAGCTCTGCAATGTTGACAAGACATTCCTCTCTCCCCCCCCCCCCTTTTGCTATCTTGGCATTTCTCGTTTTTTTGGTTGTCTCTCTCTGTTCACTCTCTTTTGGTATATGTCTCTCTACACCAAGTTTCATTGATCTGAAGTTGGAGCAGAGCCTTACTTCTTGTTTGACCACAGTCTTAGAGTATCTCTTTCAATTTACTCCCATGCTCTCTCTCTCTCTCTCTCTCTCTCTCTCTCTCTCTCTCTCTCTCCGTTTCTGCCTTTTGTGCCCATTACATTGCACTATTCTACCTTCAAAAAAGTCCAATAAAGATCTCGTTTTCTTTGCTTTCTATCTCTAGAAGGGCACCAAATAGCGCACTTTTTAGTGTTTAATAATGTTTCCTAGAAGCCTTTCAAACTTCTGACAATGTATGGAGGATTGTGCCATGGTCTATTCAATTCACCTCGTAATAGGTTTAGAATATGAATATTGAAGGCCAAAAAGGGTGAAAATAGAACTATGGAATTGAAATAGAACTAAAAACTTTGTATGGTATTTTTGAAATACTTGCATTGCATTGTGTACCGGGTCCGCCCAGTGCCTAGTGGGCCTATACCTTGCAGAAGTGTTCAGTACCTTCCACTTACGCACAATGTCTCTATTCTGTCTCACTTTTACATATCACATCCCTATTTTCACGTGTCTTCTTCAGAAGGCTCATGCTCCTCTTCACCTGTATAAACTCCTCAGAACAAGGTCGCCAACAAATCTGTATAATTAGCCTAATTTCAAGACGCACCTTTTTCATTTTTTCAACCAAGCACTCGGCCGAACAACTGTGCCTCGCGGAGTGATTGCTCTCCCACACAATTTTTGAGGTAAGGAGCGGCATGCTTGAGGCTCCTCTGGTCGCGAAATTCCTTGGTGGTTTCAGGTTGGTAATTTAGAAAAAAATAGGTGACAGAGGAACTCGATAATTTTGAAGCTGAGTGATGATGGAAACGGGAAGAGTAAATAAGCCAGCCAGAATGTTAGTCTCGTAAAATGAACACCTCAGTCAGCTTTACTTGTAGTAGATTCATATAAAGTTCATTTTCGTAATTACAAAAAGACAGGAACATTGGAGAACTTTGCCTCTTAGTCTTACGCCACTCCAACAAATGCATTTGAAAGCGCATTCTCTTTCTGATAGGTGCGAAGCTTGGCACGAACAGAAATCTGATTTTAGAGGAAAGCCACATTTTCCGTAAAATTCAACGACCTTTTCAAATCTCCTCACTGCTCCTTACTGTTCTTGTATCTGGACTATCTTTCAAAACTAGAATTCATGGAAAGAGCAGAATCTCCTTTTTCTAATATTTGTTATGGAGAGTCTCAAAATCAAAACCATCTTCATGGTCGAAGCGTGAGACCCAACGGTGCGCCATTCATCCCCCCCTCCTTCCCGACTCCTTCATCTTCTTTTTCCTCTTCCACTATCCTTGCAACCCCCCCCCCTCTCCTCTTCCTTTCTTGCGAAGTCAAACAAATAAGCAGGAACAAGCATAATAAACATTAAATGCCTGGCGAACGTGAAACACTTGCCTTAATTCGGGGCGCACTTGGCGATGATTGCAGGATTGCGCCACCATTGCGAATTTTAGGGTTATGAAAAGCCTAGAGAGGATAGCATGAAAATCTTGTTCTACTGCTGGCCATCGCTAAATAGAGCCACATGAAAATCCACGCTAATCTGCTCTGTCTTAGACGAAATTGTCTGAAAAACCACTGTTCTATGGTCAAAGGCAGTGTCTCACCAAAGTTGAGTCGCGCGGATCTTCACTTCTGTTATAGGGACCTCTAAATAGGCCACTGCAACAAGTCCTACTCAATTTGACCCCCTCCACGCTGAGAAAAATTCGCTCAAAGTGGTACGCGGAGAGCGACTTGGTACGCGCAAACGGCTCCTTCGTTCTCCTCTCTTACGCGTTTGAACATGTCCCTCTACTTGGCATCCACCTCCCCTCTGCTGCCACTGTGGCTAGGCTGAAGTTGGAAGGAACAACCACCAATCGTCCACGTCGCTTCCGCGGGCCCTCCAGAAAACGAGGTTTTTGGGAACTTCATGCGATTTTAACATATTGACGACTGCTTGACACACATGGTGTGTCAAATGACTACCGCGTGGGACCGCTTGACACACCATGTGTGTCAAGGCTTGAATTTTGGTCTAATGACTACTATCCTGAAATAAATTCACTCCATGAGCTTTCTTTTGCAAAGAATCTAAAGATGACTTCTACCTTTCTTGTCAGCCTTTCAGATCTACTGTAGGTGTACTGTAGATGGCAGTATGCGCAATTATAGTTGAAAAAGTGGGCTGGTCCGTAAAAAGGTCTTGGTCCCAAAAGACAAACAACTAAAAAACTGCATGGTCGGCAATGTGTTAAGCCCATACAATGCTAGAAAAGGGTCCGACAGGCTTGCAAAATGCAAAAATTTCGGCAACAAAATTTTGGTGAGACACTGCCTTTAAACCAACGTCATATCATTGTCCAAAACAGCTCCATATTTTATTGATTTTGACAGGAGAGAAATTAACAAACAGAAAAAAAACGTGTTTAGGAAGCTTGTTACAGCTACAGAGCTACCTCCCATCTTCAAACAATGCTATATTCTTTCAACCGAAATTATTTTATAAAGCTACAGCATCAAAGTGAGCCATTCCAGCTACAGCCTTCCGAACAGAACTTTTCGCAATTTCGAGTTTTGTGGCTCAGGATCGTGCTTACACCCATAATAAAATTTAGGCTCGTTTATCACATCAGCGACTACGCGTTGACTCAAGCGCCCTTTATAACATTCGTTGAAAAGACTCGATGAATCCTAGTGTTTTCATCCGAGTGGAATAAGTGCTTGAATTAGCGAGATAGCAGTTTTTTGAAACAATCTTATATATAAAACTGAATGTCTGTTTGTCTGTCTGTCTGTCTGTCTGTCTGTGTGTACGTATGTTCCGAATAGAAAATTCCATTTCTGAACCGATCCGGACCAAACCTGGCACACATACACTTCGGGCCCCGGCGGGGGTCATATGGGTTACTAGTTGGCAAACCCGGCTCCGCCCGGCCCTGTCAATAACATATCTGTAATCAGCATGTTCGATTACCCCCCTGTGCCAACTCCCAGCCCCCTAGCTCAAATTTCGCAAAAAACCGATAAAATCGACATCGATCGATAACGAAAAGTGGACTGTGACACCCGCCGGGGCCCGAGGTGTATGTGTGCCAAGTTTGGTCCGGATCGGTTAAGAAATGGAATTTTCTATTCGGAACATACGGCGGAGCCGGGTAAGCCAGCTAGTTGACTTATATGCATTTTGAAGCAAAAAATACAGTATAGATTTTCTTTCCAAAAGGCGACAGCACCTGGGTGTAACGAATGTTTCATATTTTGATGTTGTAATATTATAAAAAATTCTAGCTTGATGAAGTATTGCTTGAAAACAGGAAGTGGCTCTATAGCTGTGACAGGCCTTGTAAACACGTTTTCTTCAAATTTTCAATTTTTATCCGGTAAAAGCAACGAATTTTGAAAATGTCCTGCATAATGATATAACGTTGGTTTGGAGATGCCCTGAAAATGATATAACGTTTACACACAAGTAGTGGTTTTTCGGATAGTTTCATTCAAGACAGGGCAAATCACCTTGATTGAGGGTGACTCTATAGCTATGGCCAGCACTGTAGTATGAGATCAACTGCCAAGCAGATGCAGTTTCAAAAAATCACGAAAAATTATGCCAGCAAAGGATCGTTTCAGTTCAGCTGGTAGGTACTTAACCAGAAATATTTCAGCTACGGCGATTTGAGCACGACTTTCGTTCACGTAAGTTTCCACATTTACAGCCATAATTCGGGTTCCCTCGCTCATCAAATTTGGTAACACATCATTGCGTTCATTTGTAAGGTTGTTTGGCACAATTTGAAATCCCGCGCTGCGTGAGATCGTTTTAAATATGTACTAGGTAATGTTCATCCTGACTTGCTCAAACGGATGCAGATGTCTAGATGAGATTTCTAACAAGGCTTTGACTCCAACACATTTCTTTAACTTTTCCTGAAATCTGCTTTGGACTCTCCAAGAGAAAGCGTCCCATTCCGCAAGCCCCGAATAGGTGTTAGATCAAGCAAATTTACTGGAGGTGTAAATCTAAAAGTGATCGTAGACATATCGAAAACTTTTGTAAAAAGGCAAGCATCTGAAGTGTGATCCATCAGATTTGATACAATTTGTTCTTGTCCAACAACAGCAATGCACGTTTGTTGGAGTAGTTGTGAACATTTTTCTCTTACGTTACATCTGACGTAGCCCACCCTATATACTAAAGACCTCTGGAAAGCGCAAGGAGGACATAGGCACTTGATTTTCCGTACATAGTTTCCGAATTTCCGAAAATTGAAACAAAAACGACAGCTACCCCGGCTAATGAATCAAGGAACGATGCTATTTTGGAAGCCGGTGATGATGGAACGCCAAAATGCCAAGTGAGGGCCAGGGTCGAGCAAGAGGTGTGGCACACAAGCGCAGGGTACGACCCCCCCCCCCTTCTGTCTCAATACCCCTCCCCCTCCACCACCAGCATTATCGTTTGCCTTCCGTAAGCATGACGTAAAGGCTCTACCATGCATAATTAGGCACATATTTGTGATTATCATGTCTAATAGCCACCTTGGGCCAAATTTTAGCAAATTCTGAGGGTTCCCAATATTGGACCACCCAAATGAAATTATCATTTTCAAACATGATTGACTATGTCTCAAAAGTGAAGTAGCTAACTCTTTTTGTACTCAATGCAAAGCACTACTCCCTATTTACACATACCATGACCTGCTTCAGATAATCATCAAGCTATAGAATCAGAAGCAAATCAAAATCTCGTTTGTCCCATTTTTCGCTTCCAGTGGCTGCGCTTTCACCAGCTTTTTCTCAGAGCGAAGAGATCAATCAGGTCCAAATTACTCTTGTGAAAACTACAAGACTCACGCTATCAAACTAAATGTATTTTGTTCGCTAAAATTTTTTTCGGAGGTGAGTTGGTGTGGTGTGGCACAACCCCTAAAAAGCTGTGGTCGCCACAGCTTTTTAGGGGGTAGCGTCACACCCCATTAACACGTTTCGGACCGGTGCTGCACATGGTGCAGCACGATGTTTGAGGGATCTTTTTGGCGTTTTCAGGAGGTTTCCTTTTAGTCTAAAGTTGTTAAGTCAAAGGTCTAACCTCCTGCTTTTCAAAGGACTTGAGTTGTGCCGCCGATGTTTGTTTAGGAGATATGAGCATAAATCGAACAACAGTAGCAACGAAATGCGGCGACGCGAACGACGCATGCGACGTCGCAACTTTCCTTTGCTTCGATATCAAAGAAAAAAACCGTAGTTTCAATACTGATGTGTGTCATGTACAACGTAGATACTTTTGAATACTATTAGATTCTGAGTTCTTGTTCCTATCTTTCAAGAAAGCACAAAAGTCCCTCTCAAGCGACAAAATTCAAACACTTCGAATTCACTCAGAACTTTGGATATGGAGCTTATATGACATTCTGATTACGAATGTGGCCCACAGGCTGCGAAATTAGGTCCCTTTATAGGCTAACGGCTGAAAGTACACTCTTTTTCGCCGCGCGAGATTTCGCGGTCCGAAACGTGTTAATTTACCTTCCAAGCATTCAAATCTCTGTCTTTTTTATATGTTGCTACTGCTAAACCTTCTTCTCCACATAGCAAGAATTTCACTCAAAATTGTTTCTCTTAGGGAAAGATATAGTCGTTTTTCCTTAGCTATGCAAATGGAAATCACTGCGAAAGTACTGGATTACGGTAGTATGCTAAGTCTGCGCTACTACGTAAACCGCGAGGGAAGGCGGCAAGAACAGGTATGTTTGATAGCCTGTTCCTCGTAACTTTCACAAAACTGATTTGAGCCTGATTGGTCTTCTCTAGTCTGAGAAACTGGAACCGAAAAATGGGAACAAACGAGGTTTTTGCTTGCTCATAATTCCAGAGTTTGGAGGTTAGTTGAAGTGGGATTTCTAATGTGAGCAAAGAAGTATTAGTACTTTGTAATGAGTAAAAAAGAAGTAGTTTACTCACTTTTGGAACAAAGTTAGCATGTTCGAAAATGACAACCTCACTTGAGTGTCCCAGTATTTGGAAACCTCAAGATTCGCTGGAACTTAGCCCAACGGGGTTATTTGACATGCTAATCACGAAGTTGATGCTTTTATGCTTTTATTATGCTTACTGTGCGTGTACGACAGTGCCAAAACATAAGTGCTGGTATCTTGCACAATGGGCCTATCAGACCCTGTTAACTGACATCATGTCGCTAACATCACTATCACCTCGATAACGATCCCCCCTCTTTTTGACCCTCTATGACTTCCCAGGTGTGGCGTGCCACACCCCGCGCTTGACCCTGGTCAGGACAGTTGCTTCACTTTATACTACTTTCCCTTCCCCGGTGCTTCTCAACTGGGTGCTGAAGAGGTCGAAAGTATTATAGTTTTCGGTCAGCCGAAGTGGATGCTTCCTAATCCAGTCTTTAGCAATGTCGTAATTGAATGTGGTCCAACGAATCTGGCCAATAAACTGATTTCAGAAATTTGTTCTGACCTGGAGCACCATTGCTAAATAACTGAGGTTTTTTTCCCCGAAAATGTTATGTCGTGTCGATTGTCATTCTTTATCTTTTGCCTTCATAGAATAAGCAATAGAGGAGATATATATAGATAGCCAGGTAAAACGGAAGTGCAGGAGAAGCGAAAGAACTGTGCAAGTTAATATTAGGTTGTTGCAAAAATAATGTCCGTTTTGCAAATTTTCACTTTGGAAGGCTATAACTTCGTTCATTCTTCATATTTGCAAATGCAGTCAAGACCATCAGAAACAGCAAACCTTTCGTAATTTAGCGCGCACCTGCTCGTACTGATATCGCAAACGGGAAGAAAACCATGCGTTAAGAAAGTGGAAGTTTTTCTTTTGAAAACCTCTTCTTTGAGAGCTTACAACTCCCTTAAAGGTTTGTTCGTATGGCTGCCAATCAGCTTATTTTGTAGCCGCAGGCCACATGTTTACGTATGTATAGAAAAGACTCCAAAGAAGGAGTTGTGCGAAAAGAAAAGTTAAAAATTCAAAAATGTTCACTTTTTTGAGCCTACTTCTTGTAGGCTTGTGAGTGCCAAATTATGAAAATTTGGAATTCTTCGTGCACTGAATAGCTAAGTTTCGCTTCAGATATTGTAGTTAAGGTGTGCTTATCTCAAGCTTACAGAAATGGGCGAAGCTTTGACGATTGCCTTAATTATGAGAAATTTCTGACTCATAGAATGCCAGCAGTAAGTATCTATCTCGAGGCGTCAATTTCTCAGTCCAAATATCTCCAAAAATCTAGATGAGCATGCAGTAGGTAAACAATCTTCATCTAATACAATTGCTATGTTTTCAGAAGAATTCGTTTATTTGCTCCTGAATTGTGGTCAAGAAACTGAAAGCTATGAAATTTCGATTTTGAGTGCGGATGTGCAAAATGCTGGTAAAATTCTCGCAGATGAGGATAGCAGCTTATTTCCACCACCGTTAAAAAGTACATGGAGAAAGCTTTCTAATGATATGCAGATTCTATATCGTAATAGAAAGCTTGACGGAAAAAAGTTGTTTGGAATCTAGGTCTACAAAAACGGACATTATTTTTGCAACAACCTAATAGATCATATTCACTTACTTTTCACTTCTTTCATAATCTTCACATTATTTTCGAGATCATCCATCGAGCGAATCATGATCATGGTGACGTCATGTCCTGCCTTTGCCAATGTCTCAGCCACTCTTGCGTTGTATAGTACCTATACCATTTTTCTTCGAGTCGATAATCAACTAACACATTCTACCTGACTGTTTGACATGCCGGGAACAAATAGAGCCATTTTATAGCTCGCTACATAGGGTAATACTAGTAATGGTAAAACAACCCAATTCATCTTCAGATTATAGCAATGCAGTGTGGAGTAGAGAAAAGCGAATACAAATGTGTGATGTCTCTAGTGAATCGTAAAAACGACTGTGATAAGAAATGGACCTGAAGTGGCAGGTGCAAAGAGCACAGAGATGTCGTTTACGCAAAAATTCTATTATTACGAGAAAAATGTTACTTCTTTACTCAAGTAAGCAACATTATTAGCCCAAAGTTCGCCGATTTTCTTGTGTATGTATATATCAACGAATTAGCACATCTAGAACGGCTGTCAAATTCGTTAGTTTTGGTTGAAAAATTTTTGATAAAATACTGAAGTACTGCAAATAACTACTTCCTTCAACCCAATTTTTCGCGCCTACAAAGTATTGCAAGTATTAAGCAAAGTATTAAGTATTGCAACAACTTGGTGCTGTCGGCTTGAAAAATGAAGTATAAAGCAATGCACCTTTTGCACCTTGCACCTCTCGAATGTTATTGAACCCGTTCTAGAAAACCAGCTGATAAAGACTTGGACTAATTACCAAGCTCGAATGGATCTAGGTTTTTGACACTTAAAAATTTGTAATAACTCATTACTCTAATTTCACGCTTTAAGACGCACCTTATTCGATTTTTCAAACGTGCCGCTCAGATGCCATGTTGTGTTGCGGAAAACGGCTTATGCCGCACGATACTCTCAGGCAATATGCAGCATTGTAGATAGTTTTTTGGTCGCGTAGTCCTTCGCGCGTTTGTGCTGTTCAACGTTAGAAAAAAATCCCCCGCGTCCTATAGCCTAAAATTAGGGTACATTGTTTACATAATAATATGATAGTGCCAAAGCTGCCGGCTTTTTTTTAAAGCGTACCTACGTTATGGTAAGGCTGAGACCAATCTATCAGTATCAGCCGCTACACAAAGTTTGTACAATAGTCTCTCACCACAATCACCGGAAGGTCAGTCAATCTCAGGGCCACATGGTAAAAATTTGCTCAACTTCAAACTCCAAACATTCCACAATAAACAGCGCACAACAACAAAGTTTTTCTGAAATGCCTTAATTTTTGCATGCATTGTGAGAGCGAGAAATGCAACAGCTGTTTCCTTATAAAAGACAGCTTCCGTTTTCAGCATATGCTCGCGAAAATTTGAGAGCTAGAAAAAAAGGAATGAGGTCCATACTCTAGCATAAACTTCTCAAATTTTTCCATCTATCTGTGAATTAACGAAATCAAGACCCGCTTTGGGTGGTATTGGCAATCGATTACAGAACCAAAATTCGGAAGTTTCACTGAGACTAACGCAAGAGGGGGTGACTTGGATGTAATAGTGCCACGATTTTGGAAATTGTTAGTGAATTTTATCGACGACATGCTAGTTTGGTAATACAGAATTTTAGAAGCAAACTTCTTTCCATAACACTTAGAGCTCGATTGTCAATTAATCTTGTCATCGTCCATATAACTTTGGTATGATATTTGAGCAGTGGCCAAGATTGGTATCAATCTTTATTTCTCGGCTAACGTTTCGGAGTACAACTCCTTCTTCGGAGCCTAAAAGATCAAAAACTATGCGAAACTGTTCTTGTAAGCACTCAGTCACCTAACAGATACTGTTCAACACAAGGTAGTTGCAAGATGAAGACAGAGACCGTAACTAAGCTAATGCTTACCTCAATAGCCAGCAATGAAGACTAAGAGCAGACCACCTAATGGCCAGCGCCGTTACTGTGTGCTATACTACTATTTATACAGCCCAGATGACCTGACCTGACCCAGACCCATAGGTGAAAAGCCACAAAGAGCTTGATATGGTGCTGATTCGGTCGTCACGGCAATGCACTCTTCTTTGCGGTTTATTTTTAGAGTTTTTGATGCTATCCAAAGTGCCTCCAACGTCTTTCGCGCTACTGTATCAGGCTCCTGCGATAAACCCAAAGAAGAGTGCATTGCCGTGACGACCGAATTAGCACCTTATCAAGCTCTTTGTGGCTTTTGACCTATGGGTCTGGGCCAGGTCAGGTCATCTGGGCTGTATAAATAGTAGTATAGCAGTACACAGTAACGGCGCTATCCATTAGGTGGTCTGCTCTTAGTCTTCATTGCTGGCTATTGAGGTAAGCATTAGCTTAGTTACGGTCTCTGTCTTCATCTTGCAACTACTTTGTGCTGAACAGTATCTGTTAGGTGACTGAGTGCTTACAAGAACAGTTTCGCATAGTTTTTGATCTTTTAGGCTCTGAAGAAGGAGTTGTACTCCGAAACGTTAGCCGGGAAATAAAGATCGATACAATCTTGGCCACTGCTCAAATATCATACCAAACTTCTTTTCGTTCTTTTAGCAAAGTTGAGAATAGTGAGGCATTCTAGACAGGATAATTTCAAAGTCATAAAATGGTAATAAAAAATGGCCTTTGCAAGCTCTGCTATCAAGTGTGTGAACGATCAATGCGAAGAGACGAGAAAGTAAAGCAACTAATGTGAAAAAAAAACCAAAATTGCTTTGTGAAAGACTGAATGAGGTGAGAAGACTTGAGCCGATAACTCTGTTTTTTTAACAATTCTTAATTTGTCTAAGATTAAGCACATTGCACCTCCTCTGATTGCTGCAAGAGAGCATTAGTATAATGGAGCGTTTTGAGGTGGTTCTAGGCAGTACGCGTCGCATATCGTACTCTACAGTTGGAACGACGAAAAAATTTTGTTGAACTAACGAATATTAAATAATCGGCTTGAAGAAATTCGAACGAACAAATTTTATTCGATCTGTGATTTTCAAATTATTCGAATTCGATTAATCGAATAATGCTACATTTCAAAATTTGAATAAACAAATATTCAAATAAATAGGGTTGGTTGTGTATTCGACTACTCAGATAACCAAATAATCATAACTATCCGAATATTCGGCTATTCGAATTATCCGAATAACTTGGTAGCTCAAACATTGCTGGTTTTTTCTTTGTTGCAATTTTCTGCAAAAAAAAACATTAATCGCTATTTTTGATCTAGATTTGTAGCTGATAATTATATGCCTAGCAAGTGGTAAGGATTACTCGGTTATTGTCGCTTGGTCAGAGATCTACCCAAAGAACTGAGAAGAATTTTACTCGAACATGTAGTTCAAGGTGTTCCATTTCTAAGACGACTACTACTACCTTAGGCTGGACTCATAGTGATCCGTAAGTTTTGAAACAATTCCAGAATTGTGCGCTGTGCTGGAATTGTTCCTGTCGCGTCTCGCGATGCAAGGCGCTCCTCGAAGTACGGAGGCCGGGGGCATCGGTTACCGCGCTATCCGGCGACGATTACAGTAGCCGAGACGCGTGTTGCCGCGATCGTCTCCGGACCTCTCCTTAATTGGCTCGTTGGCGGCTATATAAAGCGGCGGCGCCTCATTGCCCCATTGGTTGCCTTGTTCGCCTTCGTCTTATTGATTGATTTTGAATATCGTGTTCGAATTACGTTTCAGCCGCCATGCTCCTGTCCTTTTTTGTAAGAGCAGTTGAGCCGGATGTCTTTCGGATTGGAGAACGAATTCCTTCTTTGTCATCGCAAGTCGACGCGCCTAGTATTAACCGGAAACCATCTACAGGAGCTGGAGGGGACGTGCCGTCGTCTAAGGGCCTTGGCGTTGCGCGGTGGATTTGTTGCGCGAAACCTCGGGAGCCACATGTATTTTCGAGATTGTTTATGGACGCGCATCGGTAGCATGGGACGGGCCTTCGTCCCGTGTTTCTTTAGTAGTAGTGTAGTAATTTGTTTTTAGTTTAGTATTTTTGTCTATTTTTAATTGTAGTGTAGTGTCATAAGGATAAATCACTTAAATTATCTCATGTTCCTATGGTCGCGCGTTAGGCGCACAGTAGGCTAGGTACGTCGTTTAGTATCGGGCGAGCATCAGGCCTCGGGTAACATCTAGGTGCAAGAGCCAACCGAGTCGCCACAGTTCCGTAACTTACGGTTTAGTATGAACCAGCCTTATTAATCTTGGTAACCGTTTCAAGCTCGCATTTATCCTTCCTCACAGAAGTTTCTTTACACAGAACTTTTCCCAAAGCTACAGATTCAACATGAGAAAGCTTGCGTAAGTAGTTGTTTATAATTTATTGCTGATGGTCAGCATTGCATGAGTTCTAGGAAGGGCACGAGGAAAGCCTACAATAATAGAATCAGTGAACCTTTGCAGCAGAGGTGACGCACTATCAAAAACTCTTGCAAATGCATCTACTTACCGATCCTCCAATGTGCTACGAATCCTTGCGACTGCACAGCTGCATCGCCGCTGGAGCGTAGGATGATCGCATTTGAAGAAAACATCATCTCCTTCTTGATTTCTTTGGTTTTCTTCATGTCTGCAGAAAAAGTTCCAAGTTTTAAATAGAAACTAATCAAAATTTCCCTACCATCAAGCCCAACGACCGGAAAGGTCTTCCAGCGAACGCCCTGAGAAGAAGGCGGCCAATCAGAGCCCGCCGCCGCTCCTTGGCCCCGCCCTCAGGGTATATAAGGCGGCGGGCTCTGAGGTCGCCTCATTTGTGTTGGGGTCATGGAGGCTGTGCGGATCAGATTATTGGATCTGTTCAAATGTATAAATGCGATTGATGGTGAACATCTGGTAATTGACGACGATAAAATTTGCAAAACTCTACGAGAAGGCCGCCCAAAAAGACCACGAGGAGCGAGCAATAGACAGCAGCACCTGGAAGAGACTGATATGCCTCCGGCTAAGAGAAGATGATAAAAATGAATGTATTGACTAAACTTTGAGTTGCAGATGTTCACCCAATCCTCCACGAGCGCCTAAGCCACCTCAGCCTAAGCCATCTTCAGTCAAGTCGAATACTCTCACATCGGAACCAGCCGCTGGACCTGTGGTGAATGAAGAAGCTAAGGCAGATCTAGAAGTCGACTTTATTGTAAGAGCAGTGCGAGCTGCGCTGCAGGAGAAAAAAAAAGTCGAAAGAGAACATGAATCCGTTGATGGATGAAATCTTCAGCCTCGACTGATTTGCGAACATATCGAGTAGTGCCAGAATGGAACTGTTTCAAGGATATTTTCATATGCACTTCGTATTACTAGATCTTGGTCGTGATTTATGACGTACATGGAGGAATTGCGCACATACATACACACGTAATACCACGTCATGTAAAATTCTACGCGTTTTACACACTTTTTATACACTTATGTACCAAGTGCTTTCTGATTTCCACTTACTTATTCATTTATGCTTAGTGAGATACCCGTACAGGCTTAGCACTCATGTACTCTTGGTTCTCCTAATAATCGTGTTTGTGTGTATGTATGCGGCCACACCACAACTAGTGCCGAAACAGGCTTATTTCATAACATCACGTATTTTCGTAGAATACTTCCATTACGACAGACATACTCTAAAAGCCTTTGCGACCATATGCGGTCATCCTTTTGATGTTGAACATTTCATCGATACCAAGGGTTATCACTATTTTTTGCTTGAGTTAGGCATTCACTCATATTGCCCGTAGACCAAAAGTTAATTTCTGATTCTGCAACCTCAGTTACTAGTCATCATCAAGCCACAGCCAGCATATTTCGTAACAATCAAAAAGCGATGGCGTAGAGTCTTAGTGTAACAGCTCGGTACGCAAATGGGTGTTAATGACATATTCTACGTAACTTTACGGTTTTGGATAAGTAGGGCTAGAGTAGCACTTCTTACTTAACCTACGTCATTTTGCTAAACGCCTTGGTAACAATTTACATAATTTAATGCGACTATTTGCAGAAGTATGGTGCCTACAAATAAGGATGCAGAAAGAAACAGAACAAGTGTTACTGCAATCATAGCCAGTACTGCAAACGAACAATGCGAATTAGTAGCTAGTAAGCTCATTCAGCTATTTGTCATCACGTTATACTGAGCTCTCTTCTAATTTTGCTGGCATTGATTGATATTCGACTACTTTACATACAGACACACAGAACTACAGATGTACATATTCTTAAGTACATCTACATACATACAGTGTTGGACATAATTATAGAGACACTCTAGAAATCGTCGTAATTTTCGTTCTTGCCAGTGAATCTGTCTAAAACTTTGCTGTATAATGCGCATGTAAGCCTACCATAACTCCTCAGAACGGCTTCCAATCCCGTTGATTTCGAACGGGGAAAAATGGAAAAATTCGAAAAAGCCTGTTTTGCAAGCTGGACATAATTATAAAGACACCTGGCCTTTTTAAACATTATCGCATTCCTTGACTCCCAAATTTTTTTGTAGAGTAACATCCCAGAATATGAAACTTTTGCAGCACCTAGGACCTGTCATGCTACTCAAGGAAAGATGATCCTTGCATTTTTCGTTTCCAAAGGCATCAGAAGTCAAACTGCGTCAACAAACAGCTGGTTTGAGGAGTTTTCAAGCCCGCGTTCATTTTAAATGACAGTCTTGGAATACACTTAGCCTTTTTGATAGATAAGGTGAAGAGCGCTTTCGTAAACTCCGCGTAATCGCTGATTTTGACGGACAGACTCCAATCTCAACATAGGCTTGAAACGCTTTTAAACCAAAAACTCACTTTCCAATGTTCGTGAACTGATGGACCCGATTTATTATATTGTCTACATGGAGACGCAGCTTTTGCAACAATTTTCAGATTTTTTCTAGTGCTGCAGTTGGCATTTAGATTTATAATACTTTCTACGAAAATTCTCTGCGAGCAGTAGATTCAACACAATCACAAATCTCACTATTTGCTTCTCTGTTTCATGTTGCATTTTACGCGGTAGGTGAGATTAGTTAAGATTTTGAAGTTTCAAGCGCTCTCCTGTTCGATTTCTTGATTTGAGTTGGATATAATTGTGCAGGTGCTCCACTAAACTCTCAACGGATAACAACTGCGGCTGAACCAGAATGTGCAACCCCGAAATTTTTTTCTGAGTAGGCACACAAGTTTATTGTTGTACGTGTATTGTTGCGGCTACATTGCAGCGTTTTCTGTGACATGAAAATCGAGTTTTGTGGTGCAAAAGCGCGACAACTCTATGGTGAGGTTGGAGTCTGTCCGTCAAAATCAGCGATTACGCGGAGTTTACGAAAGCGCTCTTCACCATGCAAGGATAATCTTTCCTTGAGTAGCATGACAGGTCCTAGGTGCTGCAAAAGTTTCATATTCTGTGATGTAACTCTACAAAAAAATTTGGGAGTCAAGGAATGCGATAATGTTCAAAAAGGCCAGGTGTCATTATAATTATATCCAGCTTGCAAAACAGGCTCTTTTTCGAATTTTTCCATTTTTTCCCGTTCGAAATCAACGGAATTGGAAGCCGTTCTGAGGAGTTATGGTAGGCTTACATGCGCACCATACAGCAAAGTTTCAGACAGATTCACTGACAAGAACGAAAATTACGACGATTTCTAGAGTGTCTCTATAATTATGTCCAGCACTGTATAAAACGGACAAATAAGACATATGCAATATAAGACAACTAATTTTACGGACAAGAAAACCGGATCCCACATTCTAACAATCAAATATCGCTGTGCTATCAGAAACAAAATCCACTTAAGTAATTTAAAAGTTTGGGAGAACCCTGGCGTGGTTTGGGCATTAAAATCCAATGCGGTTTGCATCACGGGTAGCGCTCCCCTGCGATGAAGAGGCTTGCCCTAGCCGAGGAGGAAATATCCTCTGATAAGAAAACCGCATAAGAGTCCAGGAAGGACCGCCTCCGACTCAACGGATTAAAGTACGCCAACAATGAAACAAATAATACTGTTTTAATGTTGTCGGCGTCTCAAGAAAGTAGAACGAACCACCAATACAAAATAGTAAACACACCTACATATACCACCAACACAGGGATAAGATGTGCCAGAAGAACTTGCAACATATGCGCAGGGTTGAGCAAGAGGTTAGGCGCAAGGCCGCCAAATACGACCCCCCCCCCCTCCCATGGCCGTGCTAGATACGACCCCCCCCCCTTTCCCCCCCCCCCCCGTAGCTCGCAGGTTTTTCTCTGTGTAAGGGACCCGTCATACTTCGCCGAAAAAGCTCAAAAGCGCCCAAAAAAGTCCGGAAAAGCCGAAAAAAAAGCCCGGAAAAGCCCAAAAGCGCCAGAAAGAGCAGGAACGAACGCACAATGTTGGTTTATCAACGAGTCTTTTTGCTCCATTTTCTGATGTCTGCACGTAAAAAATTAAAATTAAAAGTTAAAGTTAAAATTCGACCATAATTTCGTTTCTGCTTTCCTGCTCTTTCAGGCTTTTTTGGGTTTTTTCGGGCTTTTTTGAACGCTTTTGGGCTTTTTTTTCAATTCTTATATCACACATCATTATCAGAACATATCCATATTTATTAAACAAAAGAAATTTCAGATGTATCTTTTACATTCAGAAAAAAAACTTTTACATACAGAAAAAAAACTTTTACATAACGAAAAAAACATCTTTTACCGAAAAAAAACAACGCAACATTGACAAAAAAAACATCTCTACTGGATGGTGACGCTTTGAGTGCGTTGAGTGCGTGGAGAGGAAGGCTGGTACGATAACATCTGTCGGTTGAAGTATGAGAGGAGGCCCGCCCCCCCCCCCTCCCACGCCTTGAGTAGCTTCTGCGCGTTAATTACTAAATGATTGCATTTTTAATTAAAGAATACCAGCAAAGTGGAGGAAAAAGATGTAAGCAAGTATCGATAGAGGATTAAAGGCAGCGTCCAGGCAGATCTGGACCTATGGGGCTTTTACGTGGAAAGTACTTTTGGGGCCCTAACTAAGGCACTGCCCAAGCGGCAGCTCAAGTAGTGCTGTAATGGCTGAGATATTCTCCTCGAAACTGGCCCCCGCGACCGTGTTTCGCATGGGTTCATGGCGCAAAGCGTGGATCCTGGCGCGAAACTGCCATGAATCCATGCGAATACGTTCGCGGGGGCCAGTTTCGAGGGGAATATCTCGGCCATTAGAGCACTAACTGAGCTGCCGATTGGGCTGTGCCTTAGTCAGGGGCCCAAAAGTACTTTCCACGTAAAAGCCCCATAGGTCCAGATCTGCCTGGACGCTGCCTTTAAAGCTTTACTGTAACGTACGTAGAAAATCTAGTCTCCACAAACGAGGAAAACCTTCCAGAAATATTTGAACGAGTAGCGTTCCCCCAATGCGGCAAAACAAAAAAAGAGATCTCTGACCTTTGAGAAGGTTGTCTTCAAGCTGAGGCTGTGGAGACAGACCAAAGCCCGTTGGCGGTGAGCTACCTCGCTCAGATTCTGTGACATCCAAGTCAAATGATTGCCGCGACGACAATCTAACACGATGATTTCGCGGCGTACTAGAGAGCCCCCTAAAAGTAGCAACATCATTCAATGCACAAAATAAATGATAATGTGCTTTCCCTGACCTTTTTGCAACATTTACAGCCAAGCGTGCCACACACTCGCGACGTTCGGTTCTTGACTGTACGCACAAATCGTTACCTCCTTGACCAAAGCTTCTACCTCGACCAGTTGAACCCGGAGTTCCACCGTCAAAACTAAAGGCAATGTGTTGGAGAAAAGGGAAATTCTGCAACAAAAAATGTCTTAAGTAAATGCCATTAAACACAAAAAGAAATATAAGCATACAATCTCAGCACTGTGCGGGTGACCAAAACTGGGTACACCAGAGGATGGTCCAGGCGATCCATGACGTCATGATGTCCAGCATCAATTGATCTTGCTAAAGAGAGCATAAGAGGAGAATAAACAAAATAAAGGCAAGAGCCAAACATCTGATGAAGACGAGTGCTTTCGAAAGCAGACAAAAACTGAGTAATAAGCAAAAAATATAAATCAAAAATTACAACTTCTCATATAAATATGGTCGACAAAACTCACCTTCGGTCAAGACACGGATCGGATCTAGATTATACTTCTTCGCCAAGAATCGAATCTTTTCGAACCCCATGTTCGATAAACATCGCCATCTGTATCATTCCAACCAACGAAATTAGCTGACCCATTCAAAGCCATTTGAATCCTATGTCAAAAAAGTTAGAAAAGCATGATCTAGTAGTTCGCAAGAAAGCAACAGCTGATGATGGGTTAGGTCAGAGTTCGGTTAGTTCGGTTATCAGAACCGTTTAACTAGTAATCAATCGTAAAAAGAAAGAGATGATAAAAAGAAAAAAAGTAGTGGCTCGTTGCGAAAACTTGGAAAAAATCGGTTTGAAGGCAAACTGTGAACAACAGACAAGCTAAGACTGAGACTAAGTTTTGTAAAATGAAAATGAATGCAAATCGCGGCGATTGAATCGCGACGGTGAAATCGCGTGAACTATTGCAAAAAAATGCAAAAAAGGGCCGAAACTGGATATGAGCTTGCCACTTGTCAGTGCCAACATTTAAAAAAAAGCAAAGAGCACACATTTGAAAGAGGGTAGAACATATTTCTCAGCTTTCAGATGATAAGCAAGCAAAGATCAAGAAACTAACCTTTCGGATTTTTCCAAGTGTGGGTCTTTTCGAGCCAGGTCTTCATGTCGCTGCGCGTCATATCAACGAAACTAGAAAAAAAATAAACCTTTGCCGATTTTCAACTGTTGTACTGAGTTAAAGTTGTTGGCGCTTTCCACACTGCTTAATAATAGAATTTTATGTCCACTATTGACCATTTTGATGATATGATGACCAAAAACTCTGCTTATGCTCACCTATCATGTAGCGAATTGAGCGTAGTCCTCGATAATACTGGAACATCTTCCAACAATGCGACGGTTTGATTTGCAAACGACGATTTCCGAGAAAATCTCCGCCCCTGAAAAAAAACAAGGGACTGCCTTGTAAAGCTTGATATCAAACAAGCATGCGAGGAAACCACTACGCACTGACATCCAAACTCATAAAGATGATCGACAGCAGATGTTTTGTCAACATCCCGTCCACACAGAACCCGAGAATGAATTGTTGTGAAGTGATGCATCATACCAAACGATTAAGAGCTCATTATGTCGATGTCATCACATTTTATCCACACCGCTGAGAGTGTAAGCTGATACTCTTTCATGTTTCTTGAGCTGAACAAAGAAAAGCGAGTGGGGTACATCAGATATGAAGCGAAAATAGCCACTCCCATTGTGGGCGAACCAGCATGACCGGTGTATTTGCATTCATAAAAAGTTGGGAAATGAAAAGACCTCTATGCCAGTAGGAAAGCATACACTTCGACATTTTCAAGGATGATCTTAGATTTCTCACGGATGAGTCAGCCCCATACTGTCCAAAACTGCGAAAAAAGCAGTTCGGAACGTACAGATAGAACTATAGCGAACGAAAACTCCACGACTAGCTTAAAAAACCGCATCCATGCAAAAAAAATCCAAAAAATCCATGCATAATACAGGTCCTAGGTGTCCTCGGAAAGTGTAAACCGGCTCTATTTCAGTCGTACCTCCTGCAGAGGTTCGATAAGAACTCATAGATTGATAATGAACACTGCTAAAAGCACACCCGATTTCTCTTTGGTCCCATCAAGATTCCATAGTTTTGCTGTTCCATCCTCTCCAGCGGTGATTAGCACTGGTTCAACAGGGTGGAACTAAACAGAAACTGGTTGCATTCGGACCAGGCTAACACGAATTGAAGAAGAAGACTCAAGTGATATTTTTTACGGAACTGATAAGGGAAGAACGAACCTGCATAGCTCTAATTGAATCAAGATGTGAACGTAAAGTCATTTTTACATTCCACTTTGCTGTCCTTAGCGATTCTTCATCATCCTGAAAAACGAGAAAAAATTCGTAAAAGCGCGCAGTAAGAAACTTTTACAAAAGGGTCTTCATCACAGCTTGACCCACTATAAAGCAAATATGTTAGTCAAAGAGTAGTTTTACTAGGATAACTTTCAGACCAAAATAAGCAAAGGTCAAATAACAAGGCAATAAGCAAGTGAAGAGACAAAAATCACTGAGCAATACTTGCCTCCACTATGAAGTCATCTTTGATATCGATATTATCGTCCGGCACTACCTCCAGATGACTGCTCGTGAAGAAAGTCGTCAAATTTCTCTAGTACATCAGCAGCCTCCGAATCAAGACCTCCTCGAGGGGCATTGCGCTCATCGGACTCGGAGTCGCTGGAAAAAGAAAGTATGGAAAAAATAATAGGAAGAATGAACGTGGCGGATTCGAAAAAAAGAGATGGGAACTGGTTGAATACGCGTGCATTGGTTCCATATGCAAGAATGGAGCACACAAAAAAGCACATAAACAGGTCGCTGCAGCGTGCAACAATTCAGAGATAGTGGCTGGCTCAAGTGGCTTAGTTTTTTCTATTATTTCAACAAGCCGGTCAAAGGCAAGAAACTCACCCATAAGTTTGTATCCAACTCAATAGTTGATCCAGCTCACTCTTCTCCAAATGCTCCGAAGCAATTTGATCCGGTGCGGCTTCGTACCCGTTTTCCTCCATGCCTAAAAGAAGTAAAATAGAAAAGGAACAAAAAAAAACTTTACCATAGTGACAGCTGGCGGCAGGGACGAAACAGTGGAACGACCGAGTCGAAAAATGCATTTTGGCGCGTTTCGCAATCCCGTGCAGAAACAGTGCACGGGATGCGTATTACAGTAAGACGAATTTAATGGAGCAAAAGGCGACGATCGCCTTTGGTGGAAGAGTGGGATTAACCACTGACAACTTTTTGGAGAGAGGATGAAATTGTATAAAATTTTGTGTATGGGGAGAGGAAGGATCAATCAACAGTTTGAGTGAGAAAGTGGAAAGTTTTGAGGTGTTTGAAGATAAGTTAATGGGGTCAGGCGCAACCCCTCAAAAGCTCAGGCGGCCTGAGCTTTTGAGGGGTTGCGCCTGACCCCATTAACTTCATCTCAAAGGCGACTTTTTTGAATAAGTCTGAAATGATTAGTAAGCACAAACATCGTAGATGTGATAGTAGGTGTGTGACGTAGATTCGTCTTGTTTTGGCTTTCTACCAGCTCATGCAGTAAATCCAGTCGAGGTGAAAAACGCCACTGTCGAAATTTTTATGGGGCTTATAAAACCATTACTTTGAGGTGGTTTGAGACGAAATTTATAGGGTATATTAGGGAAGGGTAAAACTTTGTAACAAGTGTAAAAAGGTTGACTTTTGTAATCGTTGAGTCTAAGTTAATCATGCTTGAAAACAGCGCTTCCAGACATTAGAAAAGACGGAAAATTGTGATAGGAAAATGTATAAAGAGCCCACAAAGGGTTATTTTGCATGCTGATTACGTAAATAGCATTCACTTCGCTGGTATGAGACCTTTGGCGGGGTTACGGTAGGTATACGGTAGGTTGGGTCAGCCAGATCAATCTAAGTCTGATGTTTTTGTATCTGTTCTGTGGGCTCCAATCAAATGCTTTTTTCTGAATAAACTCCTTGTTTGCCTAGCTCCTCTTCCTCCTCGTCTTCAGTTATGTCGGTTCAATCACCGCGGGACAAGCATTTGGAAATGCTGCCATTTTGGTTTCAAGTGCTTGATACTCGGCGAGAAACCCCTGAATCGACTTCTTCTTTCACTGTTTGTTAGAGCAATATACTTACTTCCTGTAACTATGATCTCGCATCGGTTGTTACTTTTGTATACGAATTTTGAACGAGTTGAAATTTTGGCTATTTTACGCAGTTTCAACTTCAAAAATTGTAATTCTCGGCTGGACTTCTATCTATATCGACACAATTTCTTCACTATCTGATGGAACATTATTTACACTGAAACCAGTCAGTCTCAGTGACAGCTTTTTCACGAACAATTCCCAAGTCAGTGCAATTCTCATGATTTTTGGTACTTTAATTTCTTAAATCTCGTTTCCAGCAATAACCTTCTCGACCGACATAACGTCGTACAATTTAATAGAAGAACTGAAGTTGCATTCATAATGTTAGTTGCTCTGAGGAGGGCCGTTGGCTTAAAGTTTCTGCAGTTATGCCTTATTCCTGGAAATCGTAAGAGAGTCGTATCGTCCAAAGCGATGATGTCCTTCGGGTGCTCGTAGAAAATGATGAAAAATTATTCAAGATTATACGCTCAAAAATATGCTCTTACTAATCTGCTATCTTTTTTTCCTTATTTCGTTTTCATCCAGTGGGAAAAGTTTTTCAGACTTAAAAGTGAAGGCTGTCATCCTGCACCAGCTCAAAAGTTAAGGCAGAGGAAGATTCGTCTCCCACTACCGCATGTTTGCTCCTACTCAGACAATCGACGGGACCCCTCCGCCGGACAGTCCGAATCTGCCAGAGTCGCGCCGGACCCAGTTGACCAATGAGAGAGGGGCAAATGGGCGGTCCGTCGCGGTGACATCACTGGCAGGCAAGTGGGAGGCTTCTCCGGCCCTGCTGCAAAGGTCCGCCATTTCTCCGGCGCGACTCTGCCAGATTTGGCGGACTCGCGCCGGAGAAATTTGTCCGGCGCGAGTCTGCCAGATTTGGAAGAGCCGCGCCTGAGAAAATGGGAGGGGTCCGGAGCAGAAAATGGGAGGTATCCGGAGCAGAAAATGGGAGGTATCCGGAGCAGAAAATGGGAGGTCTCCGGAGCAGAAAATGGGAGGTATCCGGAACAGAAATGGGAGGTCTCCGCCGGAGAAATGGGAGGGCTCCGCCGGACAAATGGGAGACCCACGCTGGGGAAACGGCGCGACCCTGCCATTTCTCCGGCGGAGGGGTCCTATCCGCTGTCTGAGTACCTTCAAATACGACCCCCCCCAAGTCCACCCCAGATACGACCCCCCAGGTCAGGCGCGCCTGACCCCACGCTCAACCCTGCATATGCGATAAAATTAATTTTGACAACAAAGCTGAAATTTCAACAACAAATTATTTTTCCAAAACAAATAAACCTGAACTAGCCAATTGTGACTCAAGAAATGTAGTTTACATGATCACATGCTTGACATGTAAACAGCAATATGTAGGAGAAACAACACAGACTTTAAGACTACGAATCAATCAACACAATAGAAGCTTCCAAAATCAAACTTCAACAACATTCATGGTGGAACATTACAAAACTAGTAAATCTAATCCTTCTGAAATAACAATCGATATACTCAATAGCACAAATACAAGGAATAAAATAGAACTGAGAAATAAAGAGCTGCAATGGATTAAGTACATGATAACAGCATATCCATTCGGCAACGACCAAATCAAAGGATATGGTAATATCTCAGATTCGATAATCCTTTGGAAAAGAAAGAACACCCATACTTTTGAAATCCTGTACGTATCCAAAGATTCCGAGGGAAGAAAAGAAGGTCTAGAAGGAAAGGTACATGCCCTGGCAGAACTGAAGAGATTGTTGATAGAATAAACGAACTGCAATCATACAGTTTATACAGATATTTCAGAACTCTAAACAAACACGATATTAATAGATTAATAGACCTGACATTTGACTCGAAGTTTATCAAATTCAGCTATGAACTGAAACACAAAATATATGCTTTGGTGGCGAAACCATTCTGGAGCGGGAAAGAACAAAAGATTAAAGAAGTTAGCAATATATACATAACTGTCCCGTACCTCGGGAACGTTATTGACAAGCTAAAACTAAGAAACATGTGCAATAACAGAGAGGTGAAAGAGGCTATAATTACAGTTGTACCTAACAGAAAGAAAGAAATATACGATATGAAAACTGGCATACGACATAAATTAAATGAACCGCACTTACATTTGTGTAATTACAACAAATTCCTTAGAAATATCAACAATAATATCATTATATACTGAATAAAGGTGCATGCAATATGTACAAAGAGTATATTAATGTGGAATTGGGGCACGTATGTACCGGGAATATCAATATTATTGAAGATCTAAAATTAAGACAAATATTCAGAAAAGGCTACATACGAATGCATCGTTTAGCGACGAAGGAAGATTTATCAAAGTTTATAAGAAATTTGGCACATCATTTAGCACTCAAAATAAGAAATAGTCTAAAGCTAAGTGTTTCAACGAAAGCACTTTTAGAAAGTAAACTAGAAAGGATGCTCATTAATAAAGTTAAGCCAAAGCTTCATAAACTATGTGAAAGGGAAATCATTGAAAATGAAGGATATGAAAGAGAGGAATTGCATAAAATACAAAAGTGTTTTGTAATTACAACAACAGACAAGGCCAGCTCCAATTTTAGTTTTACATGCAAAAAGTTATGTTTGATCATGATACAAAAGGAATTGGAACAAATCAACTGTGAAGTAAAAACTTATGAGAGCACACAACTGAGTTTAGATGAAGAGAAGAGTACATGAAAGACTTTTAAAAGGGCTGAACCTGAAAGTAAATAATCACTATAAAGAAGTACCAAGAATATATGGAATTCCGAAGATGCACAAAGTGCCAATTAAATTCAGATACATTACAGGAGCAAAACATAGCAGAATGAAAGCTTTAACTAAACTTTTGACACTTATACTTAGCCACATCAGAAAACATTTCATGAACTATTGCAATGTTATCTTCCAAAAAAGCAAAATTAAGCATTTTTGGGCAATTAACAATAGCACAACTATACTAAAGGACCTTAGTGGCCGGTCAGGAGATAATAAAGTTTTTTCTGCGGACTTTTCAAGTCTGTTCACAAGCCTGCCACACTCGGTGGTAAAGAAAAATTTGCATAAACTTACAACGTTATGGATAGAGGATACAAATGCAACAAAATCAATAATAAGATAATACCCTATTCTAATTCAAATACAGCTAAAAAAATTTACTACTAGATAGAAGACGTACTATACATGATAGACGCCCTTCTACATATAGTTATCTAAGCTTTGCGGGTGTGATTTATAAACAGGAAACAGGCATTCCACAAGGGGCATCATGTAGTCCACAAATGGCAGATTTAACTTAAGCTTATATGGAATATGTTAGAAGGATAGTAGCCAATAGGAATTCGGAAAACTTACATAGATTCAACAACACCTACAGATACATTGACGATGTGTTACACATCTTGGAGGAACCCATTATATTCGAACATTCTTTACAAGAAATATTAGGTCATTCCGAAAGTAATTTCGCTTTTTTTAAACGGGCGCCGCATTTGATGGAACAAACATTTCTAAGAGATCTTGGCAGTGGTCGATGCAGAATTTCATTCTCTTTCTAACGGTTATGAAACTGTTGCAAAACAGTCAATGAGCTTTCAGAAAATAACCAAAATCTGCGACCTAGGCTTTTTGAAATGGTCAATTTCACAATTTTTTAAATCTTTCATATCAATTTTCAGAAGGAGGTCAAGTAAGTATTCAATAGAGTAAACCATATAGAATACAGCACTACTTTTTTCTCTTTCTCATAGCTCGCCATAATTTAAAAAAAATTTTTTTTCAAAGCCATCGGATTTTGGCAGGCCCACCTCAGCCACAATCGCATCAAACATCAGTAATTACTCGGAATTTCAAACTTTCAAGATGATATATGACTTAATATTGATTTTTTAAAGCAAATGAGTGTTTACGGATTCGAAATATCAAGTTTCGAGTTTTTCGAGTACAGCCTGGGGCTCCTTGAAAAATTGAATTGT